TTCGTTTTAGCATTTTTTGTTAATTATTTTTATTATTTAAATTTTACTACTTTAATTTGTCATTTGTTTAAATTGTCATCTAATTAATTTAAAATTATATTTACTGATGAGTTTTGATTTATTTTTCTATATGTATGGATTTTGAAATAAATTTTTAGAACATGATTATTTTTTTTTGAAAAATAGATTTAGATAACTTTTAAATTAAAGTGGCATGATTAATATATATAATTTGTCTAAAATACATTTTTAGATCAAAAGTGTATTTCAAATAATTTTTTCTTTATTCTTTTAGAAAAAAACTCAAATTAATTAATTAATAGTTGAAAGTCAAATATGAAAAATAAAAAGAAGATGGTTGTTCTATGCGTGAGGCCTATATTCTAGGACTAGTTATGCATAACATAGAAATAAAAAAATGTTTAAGAAAGAGGGAACAAAAAAAAAAAAAAAAGAATTCACATGTTTTATTAATTTGTTTCTTCTTTATATAATTAAAATTATTTGAAATCGGATTCGTAATAATTTTTATTTTAGTCTATTAACTTCAAATTTAGTCAATATATTTCTTGCAAGTTCACTTTTTATAGTTTTTTTTTTTGTTTTAGACCGAAAACTCTAAACTCGCTTAGTATAGTTATGATGTATAAAAAAATATTGAGTCATTGTTTTAGAAATCAACCGTGCAACTACTACTACTACACTAAGCATTTACTATTTATTTATTTATTTTTGAATATTTTAAAATTAAATTATTTTAAATTAAATAATTAAAATAATGCTTTGGTTTAACCACTTAACGATTCAAATTAATATATTTTTTTATTTTACTATTATTCATTCTTTTGTAAATAAATATATAAAAATTAAGTTCACATTTTTTCAAAAACCGATATTCTCATCAACATTAAATAAAAAAATATTTGTTCAATAATATGTAAGCTTTTAATAATTGTTATTTATATTTTTCGGCACAATCTTATGAAATACTAAAAGAAATTTTAAAAAATTATTTAATTTTTTTTTATTTAATGATCCATGGATTAAAAAGGATGAATCCTCTTTCTAAAAGACAAATTATGAAAAACACAAATAAGAAATAGTTAAATACAAAATTTTTGATTAAATAATTTTTTACACATTTGATTTCATATATTTTTATAAATTCGGACAATAAAACGGACAATCAAACTGAAATAATTTTTCTAAACGATTTTATATATTTTATTCAATCCGTAGCGTAGTGCGGGTAAAAAATTTAGTAGCCACATAACTAGTATAAGAAGATGAGAAAGAATAGTGATTTGGGCTGAGGAAAGAAGAAGGAGAAGGGAAGAAATCGAGTCCGGAAAGAAAGAAGGAAAAAATGGGCTAAGGATGGGCTATTAAGTTTAGGCTAGGTCTGTGGGCTTAGGCGAGTTGTGGACTAGGTAGAGCTAGGAAGGCCCGAGGCTGAAAGAAGGGCTGGCCTCGCATCCGTTGATTTCGAGCCGAAGAGAAAAGGAGACACACGAGCTGGGTTTTTAGTTAGGCTAAAGGCCTAATAGGCCTTTGAATAATTAGTTTTTCAAAATTATTTTTGGATTTATTTTATCAATGATGCCTTACTCATTTGACTTAAAATTTTTATGTTTATTGCATAGGATTATCCTTAGCTTATATTTAAAATTTTGTAATTTTTAAAGTTCATTTACTATTTATTTGGAGTTTATTTAATATTCTAGCTAATTTTTAATTGTTTGTTGTTTGTCTAAGAAACTTAATTATTTGGAATTTGGTTTGATTTTATTTCCATATGAAATTCTTAGGTTCTGTACATATGTTATCCATGTCTAGTGTTTTAATTTTTGCAATATTTAGAATTTTATTTATTATTTTTCTTGTAATTTATTTCATTATAACCTAGTTATTGTGTAATTAATTTAATGGCAGATCATCAATCCTCCTAGATTGTAGGGATTGATGACAATCCTTCATGAAATTCATCATACTGAAATATGCCATTTTTAGGACAAATAAAATTTTTTTAAGTTAATTTAACGAGTCTTCGATTTAATAGAGACAAACGTCATTCTCAACGTTAATTAAGGAAAATACAAATCAAACACCTTTAGTAATTAGGTCACTCTTCGATATACTAGTTATGTCGGGAATTGACTAGATCCAATGTTAAATTGACAAGACTTTCGATTTCGAGATCCGATGCTAATTTAATATGATGCCACAATAATAAAAAAAAAATTGCTTAGACAATAGACAAATAAATTGGGAAAGTACATTCTTTGGAGATATATTTTTGGATTAAACTAGACATGATACATTTTCTCGATAAATGTGCTTTTGAACGATTGATATCTTTCCAAAGTCATAACCGACTCCTTACCCGTGATCTCTAAATCTAGTGTCATTTTTTTAGGCCTTCTAGTTTCTTTATTAATATTAAATGGTGACTCCAAAACATCTCGCTAACCTTGTCTCCATAAACAATAAGTCCAACCATAAATAATTTTTTATATTTTGAAAGTCTCATAAATGTTAGGTAACGACAATATAAATTAAATTGAAAAAAAAAAACTTTAGTCGGACCAAGCTCTTACTTGGGCTTAGGTCGGGATGATCGGGACCACACACACACACCGTAATTTTTTATGAATTCGGTTTCATCGAAAAGTCGAGTTTTATAAATTTTGACCTCCTAAAATGAAATTTAGCCCCATTTTTATCCAAACATACTTCATACTTACGAAGTAACATCATAAAACTTGTTTAGAATCTCAAAACTCATTTAAATACACACAAAACACACGTAAAATCAAATTAAAAAAAAAACATAAAATTTTTCAAGTTTTTGATCTACTTTCTCTTATAATTTCATGATTTGTTACCACAAACGAATTATACTCTTCAAGACGAATAAATTAGTAATGATTTTGACAATTATGGTGGTCGTAATGGGCCTCATTATTCTTTTTTCTCTCTCTTTGTTTGTCTCTCCTCCAAGTTGCCAAAGATCAAAATACAAAACAAATGAAGTTTGGGATTAAAAAAAAAAAAAGAAGTTTGTCAAAAAATAAGGAACCAAAATGCTATTGCCAAATTGAGAAAATTAACAATGTATGTGAGTATGTTAACAATGCAATATGTATGAGTGAATAGGAAAACGCACCATAACTACACAATGAACACCCAAATCTTTTTAGTATTTTAGTTAATAGTAATGAATCTATTTGCTATAGTTTTTCTTGTTAATATGGAATTTTTATTTCAAATTAGTCCTTATTTAGAAGTTTTTTAAGATGATGCTGCCGCTGTGGTTTATCTTGTTCTTGTGGGGGCAACTGCCTCATTTGTATTTGATTCTTTTGTCCGCAAACATCTTGGATTAATGAAAATAATAATTGCTGTCAAACTTGGACGCTTACCATTTGAGTCCTCTTTAGGCAGTATTTGGGTACTTGACGGCCCCAAAGAAGAACGTCCTACACTCCTACTCGCATCAATTTGTTCTTGCTCGGGTATAACATACACTATTTGTTAATGACCGTGTTTTGGTAATGATTTGATGACAGAATACCACTTGGATGATTTATCTTAAGAGTGGAGAATATGATGATTCCGTGGCTTAGCAATTATCAAACAACATAACTAGAATAAAATGAAGCAATATTCTATTAAAAACTTGGGTGGTTATTTCTTAAAAAATGCTATAACAAATACTATTTGTTAATGACCGAGTTTTGGTAATGATTTGATTACAGAATACCACTTTGATGATTTCTCTGAAGAGTGGAGAATATGATGATTCCGTGGCTTAGCAATTATCAAACAAATTAACTAGAATAAAACGAAGCAATATTTTATTAAAAACTCGGGGTGGTCATTTCCAAAAAAATGCTGCTTGATTAACACTTTACGATACATTTAAAATGAACTAGCAAGTAACCTAATTCCGGCGTAGTTCGGCATTGAAAATGTTAGTGGATATCATCACAATCAGTGCCAACTAGTTATTGTTCAGAATTATCCAAAATGAGGTTGCTCAGTAGGACATGATTTCCTAGCTCGTATAACTGGTGACAAATGCAAAACCAGCAAACCAGCTAGGTTCGCAAACAAGTCACCAAACCCCAAACACGAAAGGACAACAATTTTTTGTTTGGGGGTATCGCTTGCATTGACAATAGAAAATAATAAATAACTAGAAAAGCAATCAGATAACACAGCCGCTGCTCACCTTGGAAGCATTAGCTGTCTAACACCATCACTATTTGAAAAGTGAACTGATAAACTGAAAAATAAAAATGCCAGTTATGAGTCATGTGGAAAGTTAGGGCAGGACTTGAGACCCTGCTATTCATTATATGAGTTATTTACAAATTCAATCCTTTAATTAAATCAAGTAAAAGCTGAGGAAACCCCATGTTGACGATCACGTAATCGAGTTGACTCAAGCCTCTTGGTATCATCTGCAGATTCAAGTCATTACCGTCTACCATCATTGCCCATAAATCAGAATCACCAGCATTGTTTCCATACCACAAACCAAGACAGGCTGTACGTGTTAAGGTTGCTAGGTAGTTGTTGCACTTGATCATCATTCATGTCCTAAAATGCAGAGTTGAGATAGTGATTGTTAGGGTTCCAAATTAAGATCACATAAGCCCCAGCACTCATATGACACTGTATTTCCAGTAATATATGCTTTTTTGGAATGCTAGGAGAAACAAAAGCAAATACTTGCATCTTATGAAAATTTCAAAACGATGGGAAAAGGTTTCACTGTAAACCATGCAAAGTCAACTAGATGCTTCAAAGAAGTAAGAGAAAATAGCCATCAACTTTCATTCACATCAATGGGTGAAGATGATCAACATACAAAGCTTTTTGTGCAAATATTCAATCACTTTACACATCAAGCCATACAAAAGCCAGAAACCAAATGATAGCACAAGACAACCACTGGAATCTGACCCAGAAGGAAAATAAGAGTAAGAAACTCACTAACCAGCTGATGGATTTGTCAGCAATTCTAGTGATTTCCTTAAATAGTCCAGTGCAACTGACACATCATCAAATGCCAAGGCTCCAACTGCAAATCTTGCAGCCTTGTGTGCCTCGGCAATTTTTGCAGGTGGTGGCTGGTAATTGCTGTCATATTGGTACGTCTTAGCAGAAGTTGGTTCAGGATCTGTGTTGGTACCATTTCTGCTGCTGGAAGGGTATTGTGGAGTTGATGAATAGCTTGTTGTGAGAGGGGCCGACTGGGGGCTGTATGAAGAATCAGAACCTTGATAGTATGATGGATAATGTGATGGTGCTGATGGGAGACTGCTCTCTCTGAAACTTGGATAAGACTGGAAGTTGGGATAAGAGTATGAGGAAGTTTCATGAGATTGGTAATTATGTGGCAGATGCTGTAGAGGTTCTTGCGAGTAGGATTGGTGGTATGGTTGAGAATATGTAGAATTCTCTGATCTACTTGTCGGAGGAGATGGATGAAAATCATGTGAAGGATAACCACCAGTAGGGTAAGAAGAAGGCGGAGGGATGTCGGTCAATTGTTGGTTGATAGCCGAGTCATAGAACTGGGATGGCAGTGGAATGTGTGCAGAATGGTGGTTGTTGGCCTCAGGGAACTGAGAGGACAGTGGAGAACTTGTATAGTGCTCGTCATTAACTTGATCATGGAACTGAGGTGATGGCTCAGGTTCTGGGCGAGCATTGCTCCCAGCAGATTCACTAGGCCTAAGATCCTGCAAGGACATTTGTAGTATGAGCACTAAGATGTTCGAGTAAGTGATGATATATTGCTAATATGAGAACAAATTAATACTACTTCGTTGCTAAATTCATTGACTTCTGGACCATGAATTCACTACTGGCCATCTATTAGTCCAGTGTCAAAGACTCAATTTACCACGAACCTCTAAACTATGATGAACCATAGTACTAATTAAAGTATAGCATTCCATAGAAAATTTATCAGATTGTCTAGCTTGCTAATAAACAACGAAAGATGCATTAACTCATAAATTAATGAAAATAATACTAGCTGATCTGCTCAAAAGAATACTTCATAAGCAATAATGTTCATGGCAATGGTCAGAAGAATGTTGAATTACTTGAATGCCTGGGTTCATTTTGTTTAGAACTTTCAGATTTTGAATAAATCCAAAGGAAAGAATGATTTTACATTCAGCAAACAAGATTAAGACTAAGGTACCGTTGGATCATGGAAACATACATATCCATCACTAGGCGTGCTTGATGGAATTGAAAGATCTTCATCATCAGAGGGAGGCCCTGGGTTGGGCCTCCTTCCTTCTTTCAAAGCTTTCCTTATGTCTGCAGCTTTCCAAACTGCATACTTCTGTTTCTGCTCAAGCTGGCAAAAGAGTGAAAAGCGTTAACACTCCAACAAACCCATCCATATACACTTTCATGCAAAAGTTATTATGCTTCTGATGCAGTAAATCTGAAAAATTCAAAGAGCAAATAAAGATTTAAAGCGGAAATATGATGCACAGAAACTCACATCAGGCTGAAGTGTACCAAACTGAGTTATAATCTCAAAGAAAATGCTTGCTGCATAAAATGTTTTTGCAGTATTCCTGTAAAAAGGTACAAGATTAATTAGAACATCAAAATTGGCAATTTTGCCAAAAATAAAAATAAATAAAAGGATAAAATGAATATAGGCAAATCCAACCAGGCAATCAAATTCAATTTTGTAATTTGAGCAGCCATATTATGATTACACATTGATTTTCGCAAATTCATGTAGATGGTACATGGTCACAGAACCCATAGAAACAATACATCCAAAAGTGAATAAATTCAGGAGCATCTAAGGGAAAACGTTGACCAATTGAGTGCAATACAGGGTAATTAGGCTCCTGCAAGTGAATCGGATCAGATAGTATCAGATTTACGACAACCATATAAAGTCACCATAAAAAATAAAAAAAAATAAAAAATAAAAAATAAAAAAGACTTTACTTTGGAATAATGATGCTATGCACCTATATAAGCTACTCTCATTAAAATTATTACAAGAATAGTTTGAATATCCTTCTGGAAAGCTCACTTGCATAGTCTTAAAGAGGAATTTGCTTGCAACTCTCCTCATTCTCCTTTCCCCTTGGCAAGGAATGCAAGCTTTGAAGCATATATGTTGAATGAAGTGTCATATGAACATGCATGTGCACACACAAGATATAACAAACCTTAAAGAGTGAATTATAACTATAATAATAAGATTCCAATTTGCGTTTGCAAAGACATTTTGTTTGAATGTCCTACAAATATATGGCCCTCAGCTCTATCAAGAAAACCCACACAAGTGGATGAAGCTAATATTGTCATTGGAACTCTGTTGTGACTCAAAGCTAGTTCTCAGTCAGGAATGAGGACAGCCACCAAGGAAATCTCAAGAAATAAGTTCCGAGAGTTCCTCACACATCACACCTGGATGAGTGATGATTAAGGTATTTGTGTTAGACCTTAAACCTATGGGTAAGCCTCGATTCAGAACCAATAGACCCTGTTGATAATATAATCAAGTAAGAAAGAAAAAATAGAGATGCATCATACAAATCTGCTCGTCCAGCACGATCTTGCTTGTCTGCCTTCCCAAACACATTTAAGGCAAATCCTTCAAGATACAGATTGTCTTCAGGTCCCAATTTCAATGACTTCTTATCCTGTAAACAGAGAAAGCACACTCAAATGATGCAAGAAGTTGTGATCAAAGACATTTCAAATATAGACATGATTAACCATAACTCAAACATGAGTACGCAAGGAATGATATATAATGGAAAGCAAAAGTTCCCTTTCCCACATTACATCCTCAACAAACAATTGTTAGATCTATCAATCCAATGAACGACATGAAACAACTGGAAGCATCCACTTGTATAAAAATTCTGTCTCTTAATGCAATAATAAAAGTGAAAAACATAATTTTCAAAGCATTGGTTTAGAATCACAATCCCAGAAGTGAGAACATTCATGATTGAAATACCAAAATTCTGATATTAGTTTGAAGGTAGTACAAATTTAGGAATTATTTGAATATAAAACTCAGCCAAAATAGATATGTTCTGAAATAACAAGTTAAAATGCTTTATGAATTTGGAAAAAATGTTTTCTAATAAACGTTTTCTGAAGAAACAACCTTTACTCGATAAAATTCTCAAAATCCTCACACAAGAATAAGCCAATCAACATAGCAATAGTAATAATCTAATCAGTAGGTAACACTATAGCCTCAAAAATAATAATCAAACATGTCAGGTTGGTCAACACATGCACAAAAGGTACTACACAATTAAGAAAGAGAATATTTTCAGTAGGAAAAGCAGTGAAGAATGTGAGGGCATTACAGGCAGCATAAATACAAGCACAAGTTTAAGCTGCAAAGCAGATCCCAAACATCGATTTTGCACATTCAGATTAACCAACCAAGGCAATTTAATGATGACACCCAGAGCTTAGCGAAAATATTCATTAAACATTTGTCTCAATTACCTCTAAAATCACCAAAACCATTTTTAACATTTGCATAACATAATAACAAGTATTATTTTTGTTCAACTCACTCAGAACCCAGTTGTTTGAATAATAAAAGCTCCAATAACCAGAATTTATTCATCGAAAAGAAAATAGCTCAGATTTTAAAAAATGAAAATTGAACAAACCAAAAACACACACACACACACACACACACACACAGACATATATATATATATATATATATATATATATATATATATATGAAAGGAGATGACCTTTTCGAGCTGATTCATGAGAGAAACAAGGAGAGAATTAGTGGTCTTAGTGCGTTCATTTTGTGGAATCTTTAATCCTTTCTCCATCGCATATAATCGACCTGATTAAATTAAAAATAACAGCAACGCAATTAAAAAAAAAAACCACAACTTTTTTATCAATTCAAATAAATAAATAAGTAAGTAAAGACTTAGGGTTTAAGAAATTGAAAAGAAGAATTACAGTAGTAAGCGACAAGAGGTTCGTGTTTCTGGAGCTCATCGGCTCTTTGCAGGTACGGTAGCAGTAGTTTCGCTGGCTCGTTCTCGCTCCCCATCGCCTTCCTCTCTCTCCTCTGTTTCCTTATTGCCCTTGTTTGCGTGTTAATTAAATAAGGAGGAAATGAAATTGCAGTGGCAGCAGACCTTTCAAACTTTAAACGCCCCACCCCGACGTAGACATTGTAACGGTTCGGTTTGAACCGTAAACCGAACCGAAACCAAACCGTTAAAAAACCGAACATATATATATATATATATATATATATATATATATATATGAGTACGTGACAAACGGTCACATACTCAACAGTCACAAAAATTTGTGACCGTTTTCTATTTTTTTATTTCTTTTCTTTTCTATAAATACTCTCTCACTCTCAATTTTTTTCATTCTTCTCACAACTCAATCTCTCATTATCTCTCAATCTCTTAAACTCTTAAGTCTAGAATTCTCAATAATATCCTACAATATTTTTTATACTCCAAATACTTCTTAAATTTTTACATTTTTATTGTTTTATACTATAAAAAATGGCAAGTTCAAGTTCACATATATCATCACAACAAAGTAATACCGCCAATCAAAATCGGGAAGGGGAGCAACAACAACAATCAAATTTTACACCTAGATCACCCGACATCTTCAAAATTCATTTCTCAAAAGTTCCATTAGAAAAAAGGCATTTTTACTATGATTTGCAACTACCGCAACAAGCAATACACATTCAAATAAGGAGGTGGTCATGGAACATTCAAAACCCACTTAGAGAAAAAGCATCCATCCGTACTTAGTAATGATAGACATCGGACACAAATATTCGGGTTTGCTTCTCAATCTTCCTCTTTATTTCAAGTATACCGATAAAAAAAATAAAGAAGAACTGGCTAAAATGATATGTGTTGATCATTTATCTTTTAGTTTTGGTTAAAAAATGGGTTTTAGTGATTATTGTTCTAACGCTTTGAATTTCGCTTTCAAGCAAGTTGAAAGATATTCTTTAAAAAAACAGCTTATAAAATTATATAGAGATAAAAAAAGAGAATTAACTCGTATTATTTGTAAATTTGAATGGTCGTGTTTCTATATGTTCTTATATATGGCCCGATTAATGGCAAACACACTTTTTTATGGGTGTAACTTGTCATTGGATTGATAATGAATGACACATGCAAAAACGTCTTCTTGCATATAGAGTTTTTGATGATAAACATACCGCTCAAAATATATATAAAATACTAAAAAGGATTTTAGATGAATATGTTTTACCTTTAAGAATATTTTCAATCTCTTTTGATAATGCTAGTTCTAATGATGCTTCGAGTAAAGTCTTTAAGAGAACTTTGTCAACCCCATCTTGGAGATAAGTTTTTCCATATTAGATGCATATGTCATGTTTTAAATTTATGTGTGCAATCCGGTTTGGAATATCTTAAAGATATTGTTAGGCCAATTAAAGTTCTTGCTAAATATTTATGGACACACCCCAAAAGATGAAATCATGGGGAAAGTTTTGTAAAGAAAGAAATAAAAAACCAAGACGATTTTCAAAAGATGTTCCAACTCGTTGGAATTCAACTTATGACTTACTTAGGCGATCTTTTGAATATCAAGATTTATTATGCTCATTTTTTTCAGAAAATATTGATTCTGTTTTTATTTGTCAAAATGATTTTGATATTTGCGAACCACTTTTGGAACTTTAAGTGTTTTTAACAATGCAACATACACTTTTAGTGCCGTTTATCAATCAACTTCACATTTATTTATGATTGAAGCAATTAATATTGTTGAAGCTTTTAATCATGTAGAACAAGATATGCCAACTTTACATGCTCATTGTTCAAATAATGAAACAAAAATGGTTAAGTTATTATGAAACAATTCCACCTATTTATCTTGTTGCTTTAGTCTTTGATCCTAGATTTAAAATGGAAGGTCTTTCTACTTGTTTTGAATACTTATTATGAGTATTTGCAATTATTTGATAAAAATGTAGAAATAAAAACTGCTTCTATTATAAAACAAAGTTAGAGATTTATATATTGAAATGTCTTTAACTATGGGTGATCAGCATGCTAGTTCCTCTTTACCACGTATGCCACAATCATCATCAAGTAGCCAACGTGTTAGAGCTGGTTATCTTATGGCCATGGAAAGGACAAAAAGGCCAAGAGGATTATCGAGCTCCACTTCGAGCTTGATATTTATCTAACAATTGTGTTTAAGTTTGGTGATAGCAATGCAAATTTAGATTTTGAAGTAATTGATTGGTGGAAAAGACATGCAAGCACCTTTTTAGTCCCGTCCATAATAGCTAGACAAATACTTGATGTGCCAGCTTTAACAACGATCGTTGAAAGAGCATTTAGCTCCGGAGGTAATATTTTGGATGATATTCGATCACAATTGGCTCCCGAGTCACTTGAAGCCCAAGTATGCGTGGATGATTGGATAAGAGCCGACAAGAGAACACAAGAACAAAAACAATATGATTTCGATGAAGAAAGTATGGATCTAACACCCGATGGCACAACAACGAAACTTCGAGCCGGAACTTCCGATCAAGAAAGTAACTAAGTGTAACTACATAGAACATAGATGTAATTTGTAAAGGGGTAATTTGAAATGTAAAAGAGAATTACGTAAGCTTTGATTCCTCTAAACCCCAAGAGGATACGTAGGAAGCTTAATTTTTGTAGTGTTTACAAAAATTAAGTTCAAGCCCTTCTTTATTTATTTCTTTTTTTCTTTGATTTATTGTGTGAAATACATTATAATGTAAAAAATATTATAATATTTATACATTATTCAAAAAGAAGTTTTATCATTTCAATGTTAATGTTGAGAAAAAATGTTCGATAAAAAAATTGTTGAACCGTCGATTTTACAGTTTCAAACCAAAACCGAAACCGTCCATAGAAGGTTTGGTTAAGGTTTCACCTTTTGGTGAAACCTTAACCGGAGGTTCCTAAACCAAAACCGACGGTTCGAGAACCGTTACCATGTCTACCCCGACCCCTAGCCTAAATAAATAAATAAGGAGTAAATGAAATTATGGATTTTGGGAAATATAAACTACGTCGTTCTTCTTGGAAAAACGTATACATATTATGCTTGTCCGAATCTATCCGTTTCTTATCCGTCGAGAAAGCACAACAAATATGCATGGCTTCTATAATATTTAAAATCTTGTTTCGTACCGTTTACGATGAATCAAAATATCTAAATTGATTGACGCCGTTACACTCCACTAATAAAAATATGATTTTTTTAATTAAAATTTATATTACTTCCCTCATAAAATTGAAAATATTTGGTCCAACTTAATTATTTATGAAATTTATAAAATTTCATTACTTAACATTAATGAAATCTTAGCCCATTGAGTTGAATAATTTTTTTTCCTTTTCGAGTGATCATGGTCGCCCGTGAAGTGATTTATGAATACGTTATGTTATTATTATTGTTGTTATTATATATATTAATTCAATAATATTATATGTGATAAATATTTACTTGATTAAATAACTAAGTGTTATATAAGAGTTGAGATAATGGATTCATTGATAATAAATATATTTAGTTATATAAAATAATAATATTAACAAAAAAAAACTAAATGAAAACATTGTTTCATATTCATTTTATTATTTCAAATACTATTCACGTAGACTTAATTTACTATTCATCAAAACTCATACACTATTTATTTCACTATGTTATTACATTATTGTAATTTTCATGATTTCTTATGACATTTAATATGCAATTTATTATAACACTACACTTTAGTCCCGTAGCACTTCGATCTAAGACTTTGGAGGTCAAGAATATTATCGTCATTAACCTATATTCAAAAGGTAATGAATGCAAGCCAATAACTATATCTTTCCTATGACATTAGTAAATTAGACTATGCTCGCGAAAACCTATAAATGACGAATATGCCCTACATTTTAGTCCAAAATATACTATAAATTTTTCATGTAATAATATCATTAACCAAAACATTACACAACCTTACAAAGATACCATGTGATGGAAACCAAGGAGCCAAATGGACTAGCAAGTGGCGTCTCTAAGGGAGGTCCAAGATGGCGAGTTTGCAAGTACAAGATTTGATCCATTACACCTTAAAAATAGTCCAATGATACGGGTTAGGGCTAAGAAGCTAAAAGAAGCTCTCCATGGGCTGATTCAAGAGTGTTAGGCGTGAATGCATTTCTAATTGCCCAAAAGAGAATTGTGCCGTCATCTTAAGAGAGGAGGGGGTCCAAGACTTATCAACTCGATCCAAGTCTAAGAGTGGGCTCTTTAAATCATATAGGATCTATTTTGTTATATCTAACTTAATTATAATTAGAACTAATTAATTAAGTTAGATTTAGATTCAATATTTGAAGCCTAACTTAATTATAATTAAAACTAATTAATTAAGTCGATTTGGGCTCAATGTTTTAAGCCCTATTATTTGCATATTCTTTTAAGTCCATTAGGATTTGATTATGTTTTTCTTAGGTGGCAAGGATATGTAAAGTCCTTTTAGGGTTAGGAATGACGTATTTAGCTTATTTAAAAAATGGTTTAGTTTTGTTTCGGACTTACATAATAATTTTGAGAGTTAATAAATTTGAGAGGATTTTCTTCATTTGTTCTCTCGAGAACTAAATCGACTTATCAAGGATTGCAAACCTTGTGGCGTCTCCGAAATTATCATCCTCCATAGGGTGTGGCATTCTTCACTTCATTGCAACATAACTTCGGCTTTTGACTCCTTATAAGCAACGAGTTAGGTTTCGCTTATTATAACCTAATTGTGTGTGTTCTTGGAGTTGTCGAGTGACAAAGGTGTTTGGATCTCTCATCTTTATATGTGGGGTTCATATCGGTTGCTATCGAGCCTAGGTTGTGCAAAGTCGGGTTGGTTATCCATAATCCTTGGGTCTTTTATTTTGTGTCTATCTTACTTTCTTTGTTGCACCTTCCTTATTATTCGTCATAATTTTTCTTGTTTGAGTCTATTGTTTTTGCACTAGATAAATTGAGTCGGTTCCA